CAAAATGAAGGTCACTTTGGGATCAGCCACGTGAGACTCTGAGAGTCAACTGTAAGACAAATGTTAATGTATTTATACGCTGAATGACATAGGTGACAGTTTGCATAGGTATCATTTAATGAAAAGAAAGGTAAAAAAAAAAAAAAAAAAAAAAAAAAAAAAAAAACAGTAAAATGTAGGCTAGATTGCAAGCTTGCTAATTGAGCAAAACTCTCACCATCAATAATATGGATTACTTAACATAGAACAGTATGTGTTTGTACTAAATCTGAATTACAATGGATATTTAAAGGCCAGGACATACCCCAGGAGAGAGGAATACCTTTCTGACACCATAATGTTCTCCAATCAACCAGCTCTTTTTATGTAAAAATCCATCTTTCACTATCCAAGTACTTATCCCATCAGAGTACTGTAAAGACACACCATTTCAGTATGGTACCATTTCATTGTAGAAACAGAAAATATTCAGATAGCTGTTCCTGAAGAGAATCTCCTTACATGCTCAGAAGCCCACTACTGCCACCACTTTCACCCAGCAAAGCAAACTGCCAAAGGCAGACCTGAAAAGGCACAAGATGGTACTTCCCAGTGTTGTAAACCAGAGCAAAAGGTTTTATGGCTTCACATGCACGGCAGGGAAGAAAGATGCATTTATTTGAACACATACCTGTGATGTCACATTCTGTCACTGCCTGGGATTATAGTCTCATTTTCTGTCAAAGGAGTTGAACATCTAACTTGCTGGAGGAAATAGAGAAAATGTCTGGACCTGTGGTTTAGATGAAGTTGAGGCCGTGTCTGTTGCCAAAAGTCTCCTACATTCTCTGTGTGCAATTTCACAATTTCTGCAACAGCAGAATCCATGCTATCAGTCTCCTTCCCTGGGGTTTGAGTACCAGCTTTGTGATTTGAAGAACCAGTTCTGGCCCACACATGTAAAACTATCCAAATCATCTCTCCTGTCCTCTTCCTCTCCACCCCTCTTTCTTACTATAGGATGTCAAACTCACGGAATTAAGCAGTTCACTCATACATTTGCCTGTGTTCTCACATGGCATTCCCCACTACTAGGCATTCCCCTACTGTTAATCTGATTACCTCACTCTGGGTGGGAATCAGCCATGATTTCATCTTGAATTCAAAACAAAAACTATTATATGAAACCATGTACACATGGGAGAAAAATTCTGTAAATGTGTTTTGTCAGTTTAAAAAAAAATCATGGTTTTATCAAACCTTTCCAAAATGACTTTGCAGAATAATCATGCCTTGCAAAACACATCAGACCAGCTTCTGCAAAATAAAAGCTATACTTCTCTCAAATGAGCAGGTTGGCTTTTTTATTATTATTATTTTTTTATTTTTTTTATTTCCCATGTTTTGCTTTCTCTTTGGTAAACTATGTCAAAGTGAAAATGCTGTATAAATTATAGGCATGATCTATGACGCAGAACAATATTTATAACATGCCTGTAAAGTTAAGTAATGCTGAGAACAGAAATGCAATTAAACTGGAGAGGAGAAGAGAGGAAGTTCTGCACTCTGCAGAGCGTGCTGTCTCATCCCTTAAACAATGCAGCACGATGGAAACCAATAAATGTTTCTGCAGAGGTAACTGGTTTCTTGTATGATGTAGTGATATCATCAATACATGGAAGGGTTGATCTCAGAGTTGCATTTTTTCAAAATATATTTTTCAAACTCATTTGGGGAAAACAATGACATTTTCATTTTCTTTTTAAGGAAGGTATGTACTATCCTCCCCATATGTTCTCAGAAGAGTGCAGGCAAAAGAGGGCATTTGGAAGTTATTTTCTAGTGTGTACTAAATTATTTCATGTGTTTCAAAAATAAAAAGTCTTGTTTATACGCATAGATATATTTTATATATAAAGAGAAGGTTTCTCAGAAATGGGAACCCAAGATGACAGTGGCATCGGAGACATTCTCAGGATGTGAGCTGCACTACAGAGGTCTCCATTTTCCACTGACAGAGTAGGGGTAATTAATTTCATTCTTTCACTTTCACTATACATATATATATGTGTAAAATATAGCAACTTAGACATTTATCTCTCATTAGTATCTGTCTGTCATGTTCTTCTCTGTGTAGCTGTTTGTGACTAAGCACAAGAAAAGTGCCAAATATTCATCTGTGAAAAATACCCATACGATATCAGATATCAAAATCATTTACCCTTTTGAAGACATATAACGTCAGTGGCATGTCAGTGGCAAGTTCCTCTCCATAAAGGTGCCCACTGGATATCTTAGCCTTCTAGTGCTCAAAAGAGCTAACACAAGGCTGCCCCGTAACCAGTACTGCACAGCACTACCAGAGTCTTCATGCACAGCATCTGGAGCAGTCTGGTTTGAAGACCAGGCAGGCTCTCATGCATGAAGAAAACAGGGCTGTAAGTGCCACCAGCAGTGCTAATGATGTGTGAAGTAGGTAAGAGATTTGAGAGAGGAGGAGTGCACAGTCTCTCCACCAATAAACCCATTGCTACCAAGATAACACACCATCACTCAAAAGACCAGCTGTGGTAGTTATACCAGATTGCACAACATATTTATACTCCAAAAAATATTTTTTAAAGATTCCAAAAGATAGGTAAAGACCAAACCCAAAGAGCTTACAGAGAGAGAAAGTAAGACTGAGTGTAAAAAAAAATATAAAATAAAATAAAATAAAATAAAATAAAATAAAATAAAATAAAATAAAATAAAATAAAATAAAATAAAATAAAATAAAATAAAATAAAATAAAAATCATCATCTTGATGGAAAATCAATATTTTTACTAGATAGATGAGTGTGTTTCCTCTTTACAGCTTTTGTGAAGACAAAAAATCTTTCTAGGGGAAATCTGACATTTTCTATTGAAATGTTAGCTTGCGTCTTTGAAGAGCTGTTGCTTGTGTAACTCATGCTGCTATGCCTCTCTAGTATAGAGCCATAGATAATTTTTTAATACCCTGGCTGGTGCACCATGAAGGGACTGATGGTGAGAAAGGTGCCACATGAGATTGTGAGATGACAACTAGAGACTGTGAGTTTGACAAGTGGGAATAAGTGAGACATCAAGTAAACTATGCAGATTAGTACCTTTATACTGAAAATCTTAATTTCTGAGGCATGTTGAGTTTTTACCGAAAGAATCCAGATTCCCTGGGAAAATGCCCAAATCAAATAAATATTCAACACTTCCCACCAAGCTGTAGCACACAAACAAAAAGACAGGGTGAAGCCACTGAAAAGACATCCAACTACATTGATTTGGAAGTGTCTTATGCTCATTATTATCTCATTTGCTTGATTTTCTTTTGGACACTTGTTCTGTTTCAGGAATTTTGCCTTTCCATGTATTAGAAGAGGGGGGTGGATATGAAGGGAAATACAGATCAAATACAGAAGACTGGGAAAGCAGAGATGGCAAAGAAACAGAGACGAAGAGGGGAATGGAATAAAGAATATGGAGGAAAAGTTAAGAAGGCTACTCAAAGAAGTTATCAACCCCAAAATCATATCCAGCTACACTCTGAGGGTCACAGACTGAAGACATTACCAAAGGTGATGGACAGAGCGGTGGGGATTACAGTCAAAGTTGTCTGAATCCCTTTCTCTGTAGATACTAGCTTTGGTTTATCTTCCAAGACATGACAGCAGCAGGTGAGGGTGTTGCATCAGGCTTGGAGTCCTCACCTAGGTCATTCCCACACACTAGTTTTACAAAACAAAATATAACAGAAGTGTTCTAGTAAGTCTCTGTGTATGTAATGCACAAATGCACCTTCCAGAAAAAGGACTTCATAGATCATCCTCTTCTGTGTTACATAAGGAAGATCCTGAAGGAATCTGGGCTGATATGCAAGACTGGAAAGAGAGATCATTAGGATCTTGCATCCTAAGTGCTATTCAACAGGAGGGAGATTATAGTTTATCACAAATTCATTTGTGAGAGATCAGCTTCTCACACTTTTTAAAATTTGGTATGGATGGAAAAGTTTTAGCTAGCTGTACTTGCAAATCAGACATGTCACAACATAAGTTCTTTGACTTCATAGATTTGAAAGGAAGCCTATTTCTTATGTTAGACATTTGTTGTCCTGCTTTTTAGTTCTCACTGGGATTCACAGATTTCTTCAGACCAACCAGTTGTGATGTGATAATCTTGGACTGGACTAGAGTCATGGCACAGATCAAAACACCAAGAGGCTATTTTTGTGCAAGCACTCTGAGAACTGTTATAAGCCAGAGGGAGAGCATGCAGGTCAATTAGCAGACTAAGTTCTACCACCCTGCCAAATTTACATTTGTTAGAGTTGTAACAGGAACAGGCCAAACAGACTGGGAGCCACTTGTGCCAGGTCCAGATGCAGAGGAAATGACAAACTCTGCCCCGCAGAGTTAATACTACAAATGTCACTGATTGGAGGAATGTCTGTCATCATTCAGATTAACAGAATTATCTTTACCTGCAGAAGAGCTGTTTTTTTGTTGTTGTTGTTGTGTTTTGTTTTTTTCCTAAAAATAGTCTAGTCTACCTGAGTTCAATAAACTAATTAATCATCAGCATTATGGCAGTCACCAGGGCAGTCCCTCTCATCTTAATGGACTGATCTCATGCTCCATGCCACACATTTAAGGATGCTCCAGATTGGAGATTCTACTGCTTACACTGCAGAAAAAAAAAAAAAAAAAAAAAAAGATTTTAAATGTATTTAAAATATAACCACTACAAAGCTCACACAAAACTCTTCCTATCTCTTGCATCAGGGGACAGTGAAACAAGAATGGGATCTTATTCTTCTCCTGTGTCAGACCTTCCCAGCTGTACTTAACATTTTCCTTCAGTTCATTTTCAAACTGTGAGTTCATTTAGAGCTGATTCCCAGATGACCTCCCTCTCCCAGTCATGCAGGTTGGATTCTCTGTCTATGGGGCAGGTGCAACACCAGGAGATAGTATAAGTTTCTGCATGGATTCAGAGTACACACCATGAAGAAAGGATTTTATTCACACAACATGCAATTACACTGTTGAACTCATTGCTCCAAGAAACTGTCACAGCTCAAAACCTAACAAAACCAGAAAAGGACAAGATATTTATGTGGCTCTGAAGAACATCCACATTTGTCACAGGCAACAATAGCAAACATTTTGTACTTGAGGGATTAAGACACTTTCTAACTCCTGGAAATCCAAATAGGACAGAAAAAGGTCAAATTAGACTCTTCTCTTTTGTCATGCATTGTACTACAGGGTCCTCAAGTCTTCCTCTGAAGACTTTTCACAGTCAGGTGGGATCTGGACACTGGCCTGGAGGGACAACATTATGACAAAGCCATCAGTTCCCACTTATCTGTGCCGCAGAAGAATGAAAAGTGGAGTTTGGTTACCCAATTCTTTTTCCTCTTCACCCATTCCTGTTGAGATTTGGTAACAGTTGTCACTTACTTTAGTGCCTTTCATCCACAAAGCTCAAAGTACTCTACATAAAATTTATGGCCTGTTAACACCAGCCTAGAAAGGGGTGTCAAAAGGGCTGAAGTGACTTTTGCTAAATGTCAGACAACAATTGAGCATAGGAATCCAGAAGAAAATACCTGAATGTTTCTAGACCTCCAGAACTTTGCAGCCACGCTGGTATTTTCTAGTTAAGTTGCATGTGTCATGGCTCTGCCCACTGTAGATTGGCATCCAGCCCACTGCTTTCTTCTAATCAGATTCTGGCTTCTCACATTGGGATTGTGGTGGGCTCTGCTTTGAAATGAGATGCTTGAAAATGGTTGACACCTGTAGTTCTCTGGCTCTCGGGAAAATTTGTTAACCTTCAAGAAAAGTCTTGGAGAGGAGGGACTTTCAAGTTTTACAGGATGGTGAAGTTCTCTTTGGTTCCCTTAAAAAGCATTAGCAAAGGTCAGATTAACAAGTCAACACTGAAACTAGATACAAGCAAGACTCCCAAAACTGATGCAGAAAAGAAAAAAGGTGGGTGGGGACTGGGTGTGGGGGAGAAAGGCCCACAACACAACATTGGCTCTGATCCTGTCCCCCTTGTTGGGCCTGGGGCACACTTGATAAGGTGAAGGGAAATTGTAAAATTAGACCTGGCAACCTACACAGAGAGGCCCAGTGCAAGGCCGTTGGCCTGAGGCAAGCTGAGAAAGTTGAGGAATTGTGGGGGAAAGGGGACTTGGCAGGCTAACTTCCTGTGGCTGCATCCAGGGCTAATTAGTTTTCAGTGTTCTGTGTGTGTTTGAATGGAAACGAGCCAGCACTGAGAGGCACGGGGTGAGGAAATCAAAAACACATGCACTGAGAAGGAAGAAAAAAAAAAAAAAAGAGAGAGAAGGAAAAAAAAATCTGTCCTTTTTAGCTACATTTTCTTTTTCAGGAGGGGATCTCATCATTTTGTTTCATGAGCACTAAATCACCCCGGCTCCCCTGTCTATCACATCTCACATCTGCTTCAGAACTCATTAAACATCAAAAGGCCTGCCCTATCAGTTCTGCTTAGTTAGAAGTCTGAGTTACTAGAATCCTAACCAGGGAAGATTTTGTATGTTTTTAATAATAGCTTAAGGAACTTCTTAGCACCCCATAAATTACTTAATGCAACAAACTCTTCCTGTGGACCAGCAAATGTTTTACAGAGAAGCTGAATGCTGCCTTAACATGCTTGTGGTCAGTCCAGAGTTACATAGCAACCTGCCTAAATGAACCTTTAATCCACATTTCAGCTTAGGAATTGTTTTCTCATGTATCCTCTCCTGCCGCTAGCCCACTCTCATTTTTACTGCCGCTCTAATTTTATATAACTACATTATAACTTGTATTTCCGTAGCATTTTGATCCTCAAGAATGCCAAGGCAATTATTAAACCAGCAATCATAGTACTATAGCACCAATGAAATCTGCCGCCTTCTGCCTACTTCTGCCATTTCCCCTACTTCAAATATACATGTACAGTGCCCTCCACTACTGCATATGCCAAACAAACAGTTCATGAACATAATTTATATATAGGAAACACAATGAACATAGTAAAGGCTCCAGTGGGCATTTGTTATTAAGAGTGCTGCAAGAGCTCTTTAAAATGAACTACGCCTAGACCAACAGTGATTTTTTTCAGTGCTTGTTATCCAGACAAAACTAAAGTAATTTTTCATCAGAGTACTCACAAACTTTTGTTTTTAGTGAAGAAGTTTTTTCTGTCTAATTTGAAGGTTCTGCCTGCAGCTGTTTTATCACCAGAGCACTTCTGGCTCTCTTTATAGAGTCAAAAAGAACATTTTTTTGCACTTTTCCTCGTGCTCAGGAATGACTAAATCACTTTAACTCACATTTTTTAAGAAATCTGACCAGTGTTCAGGCTTGAACATGTGAGTCCCTTAGGTGAGAATTTCAGATGATGATGGGCAAATCAAAGAGAGGTTTTGAACCAAAAAAAAAAGTCTGCAACCCCAGCTTTAGCAATCATTCCCACTATACCAATAAGCTTTGTCAGCTAGTTGCAACTGTTCCTTCTTCCATCTGAGGATGGAGAGGATCTACACTTCAGACAGGTTGAGGTTCAGAAGCATCCTTGGCTCCTCAGGGTTGTGTTGTGTCTTGGTAGAGATGTAAAACTCAGAACCTCTTCTCTCTCAGTTCTGGGAGAACAACATGTCATATTGAAAAAAAAACTGCTAAAGAATGGCGATCAAAAATGGTAAAAAATACAGTTATATGTAAAAGTTTCAGTTTTTCTTTCGTTTACCAGGAGTGACATCCTAGGCTCAAAGATATATAAGAATCTTTCTTTCAAAAATATAAATCCACAACAATTTTTTTTTCAAAATTCAGAATGTCAGCATAAATAAAAGGAAATTTAAAAAAAGAATATCATGAACCTCAAGCTGTGCTGAACTCAGCTCATCATGGAACACAAGTAGGGATGTGTGTTAGAACATCCATTATGAGGTCCTATGCCTCAAGTGCCTACCTTGGTGCAGATGAAACTGCCTTGGACGACAGAGATGTTATTAGACTAGCAGTCAAGGAAAAATGAAGTCAATGGCTTTTCTAGGATTCCTAATTCTTGCCAACAAGCTCTGGATACTGCTTACCAACAGAGACTTCTCTTCCCAAACATGTCAAGTCTGGCTTCTTGTAATATAGAGAAGAACAGTCCTGCAGAACACCAAGGGTTCCTAAGCCTGAAGCAGGTGCAGCATAGCCAGTAAAGGAACACACAGTCCTTATGTTCACTAATCCTCCACACAGCAGATTCCCAGTGCTATCTTACCAGACCAGATTTAAGGAAAAAGTACAAAGTTCTTTCCAACATCATGCACCATTAGAAAAGAAGTTATTTAGCTCAGGAACAATTAGGAGGAAGTAAAGCCCAATAAGAGATACTTCGTCATTTAGCTCTGTTTCAAGATCTGTGCAGTACTCGCTTCAATGACACTGCTGATAGGACAATTTCACAGCTGTCAGACCTGCCAGATAAATTCTTAGGTGATCCATGGCCTCTGATCATTGCCTTTCTTTAGAAAAGTATAAGAGGGACCCTTTCCTGGGATAAGCCTCCCATAACAAATCCCCAAGTCACCAGAGGTCCTGTTCAGTGTATCTTTTCTTTTGGGTCTGCAACCCTTCATCTTGACAAGTAATGTAATTAAGACATCAGCTTATAGGAGTACACCAATGAAATGCAATCAGCCACAGTATTAGTCTTTTTTATACTATGTGCTTAAGGAATGAAGCACCAAGCTAGTCAATAAACAAACTTCCTTATACAGTACAAGGCTGATACCCCCCTGCTATATACGATGTTGAGATGAAATTCAGTCCTTGAGAGTTCACATATGTTTCAGCACAGAGATGTACAATGACATATGACTCCAAAACTATTTACTGCACAAATACATAAATGATAGAGAGGAATCCAGCTTATTACTAGCTCTAAAAAGAGACTAAGCACATCAGGAAATGATGACAGGTAATGATGTTTAGACTGAAAAATGCCTTAGACATAGCTTAGTGTGCTTGGGAACCCATGTCATACTATAAATATTACAAAATTACTGGAAGACTATGCATAATACTAAAATGAAAGGTAGCTGGAAGGTATCATTACATAGGTATGTCTCAAAGAGATGGGTGATATACCTCCAATCTGAAGACAACCACTCTGATAAGGCATTCAACAGCTGGGGTCTTCCTCCTGTAAATATTATTTTCATCCATATTCAAGATTTGTACCACGCAACAGTTTAAATTAAGCACCCCTATGGAGGAAATGACAGGTTGTGAGTGAAAGAAGCTCTAGGGAGCGTGTGCGCTTTCCCACTCTTTGATTTCCCCCTTCATGTGGAGCTCACACTGCCTTGGGATGATATTTACTCTTAGAGTCAAAGAACATATTTGCTTTCTGTTTTTCATTAAATACAGAGGGTTTCACAAAAGAGGCCATTTTTCATCAAAAATTGTTTTCAAGTGAAAAATATCTACCAGCTCTGCTCCTGACTAAATAGTTATTGGCCTAGGAGCACATTACTGTGACTTTACAGTTCATAGAGTGTGACTCAAGAAATGAGAAGAATGTTTTCAAAAAGTTATCATGAATATTAAAAAAAAAAATAAAAAAGTGTTTATATCACAGCTAACAGTGCAGCTGGTAGCCTGCATGCCATCTGAGACAGCCACAGCATTCACTAGCATCAATCTTACTTCTTTTTCTGATGACGGGCTCTACATTTGCTTTCACTCAGCCTTCTGCTTCCTCCCTCATTTTCTATCACTTTAAAATAATTGTCAGTAGCACGATACAAACTGAATTGTTTTTGTTCTTCTCCTGCCTTCCCAGTCTTTCTGCACTTAAAATGTCCTAGAATGAGGACAACTTACCGGGCTGAAGGAGCCAATTGAACAGAAGGTACCCGAGAGATGACGGAGTCATAAATAGGAAGTGCTTGATATGTTGTGGCTAATGTACCTACAGAACATGAGGGCTTGCTCTATGTTAATGCTTTAAGGGGTGAAGTATGTCTTACTTGGGTTCTAAAAACTTTTGGGAGACGTTCTTCATATGTGCTCAAATTCTTTGCGGCTTCATCAAAGCAAAATCTAGCCTCTGTTCAAGCAGGCGATTTTCTTTTTATTTTCTTTCTTTTCACCAGAGACTTCCTGTGTTTCTTTTTTCTAAAATGACATAAATCCCTCCCTCATCAGATCAGTGCATACAGCATATTTGGAGGCAGCTTATAAATACAATAAATAAAATAAAATAAAATAAAATAAAATAAAATAAAATAAAATAAAATAAAATAAAATAAAATAAAATAAAATAAAATAAAATAAAATAAAATAAAATAAAATAAAATAAAATAAAATAAAATAAATACAGTCTATTAGCAGAGATTAGATCAACCGATGTGAGTCCTATATAATGGCCTAGTTTTGCAAATATGGAAGTCAACAGCAAAAATTCCCCTTTAGCTTCAGACTGAAACATAGCCAATTGTAGAGCTCAGAAACTGTGACTCAAATGCAAGCAGATGATTAAACTCACCTAAAAGTCATGAGATATACACAATAATAGATGTTATAATTTTAATGTCTTTCTGTATTTTCAGCCTTCATTTTGATCATCTTCAATTACAAACACGCTGTTCTTATGAACAGAGGATGAGACACACAATTGCTTCTGCAAAACACATAAGCCAAAGTATTATCTATCACAAGACATACATGCATATAGCATGAATTAGCAGTACAAAGTGAGCTGAAAATGCACGGTGAAATTTTGCAGCTCTGAGAAGGACTTGGGGGTGCTGATTGACAAGATGCTCAACATGAGATGGCAATGTGCCCTTGCAGCCCAGAAAGCCAACCGTATCCTGAGTTGCATCAAAAGAAGCGTGGCCAGCAGGCTGGGGGAGGTGAATGTCCCCCTCTACTCTGCTGTTGTGAGACCCCACCTGGAGTGCTGCCATCAGATCTGGGACCCACAGCACAAGGACAAGTCCAGAGAAGGGCCATGAGGATGATCAAGGGCCTGGAGTACCTCTCCTATGAAGACAGGCTGAGGGACTTAGGGTTGTTCAGCCTGGAGAAGGCTCCAGGTAGACCTTATAGCTGCCATCCAGTACCTAAAGGGGGCTTACAGGAAAGCTGGGGAGGGACTCTTTGTCAGGGAGTATATTGATAGTAGAAGGAATAATGGCTTTAAACTAAAAGAGAGGGGATTTAGATTAGATACAAGGAAGAAATTCTTTACTATGAGTGTGGTGAG